AAGATAATCTACCTAGAGCTAGAGAATCGATAAAACAGGCAGGTCTCACTGCCAACCATGACTGGTTTGGTTGAAAAGATGTGTGTTTTGTTGTTCAAAACCCATTGGGGTTGATGGAGGTAGATTTTGTAAACCCGTCAATTAATAATTGCGGATTTCAAAAAATTAATTGACGGGTTTGCAAAGGTGGATTTGCTATATTTGATACCCCCTAATCAGAGTCTTTGGTACCGCTGCCCATGGAAAAATCAAAGCGGCTCATGGGTTTCCTTCCAGTTGGCAAGGTACATCCTTGCTGACTGGAAGTAAACCCTTCCAGCCAGCCCCTCTCATCCTCTTGGCACCAGGTATCCCTTGGGATACCTGGATATCTGCCAGGATTTCAAGGGGAAGGGGACATCCGCTGGCGGGTATCCGTTGGCACTGGCTGTGTCAGCGCTGGTCTCTTATGTGAGCTGGCTTTGATGGGGTTTTGGGGTTGTACTATAGCCTTTTACGCCGGTAGGATAGAAGCTCGCCTCAACGCTAGGAAGCGGAGGGGTCAGCTCCCTGTAAGTGAGGGGACATGCAGTAGGAACTTTGCAGAGCCAAGCTTAGAGTATAATCTCTCTAATTTATGAATATTGATACAGAGGGAAATACTTAAGTAACTCCGTGGAATTACTTACAACATAAAATATAAAATAAAATGATAAAAATATAATATTAAATAATTGGGACTTGAACCCAAGTGTGTTGGTCAGACAAAGTCATAACACAATCTTTAACCATTGCACTACATTACATGTACTTGTAGGTTAGGTTCAGGTTTTAGACACATGGGCTACAGCCTCAGTGTCTGACAGGCGTGTATCTGCAACGGATACCCTTCAACCACCTCTAGCAGGGATTAACACCTGATCCAATGGGTGATGACTTCTATGTGATGAGGTGGGGCCAATTGGGTGATTGGGTTCACTGGTCAAGTTGGGATCAAGATGTTGCAATGTTGGAGGGATAGGGGTTGTGTTTAGTGGTATGCATGACATACACACATACACACAAATATCCCCATCATCACCTTACAACAGCTACCACCAACACCATTGTCCCCTTTCCACTTTATTATATCATAAAAACATCTAAAATAAATAAACTACACCTAAAACTATACCCCAACAACAACAACAACAATGCCTTGAGACAATTTGTGTGCTCCTCTCAGGCTTAAACAAGGAAGAGCCACCAGTCTTCATCTGCCAAATTGTGTGGGTGATAATTTTACTTTGGATCCATCAAATCTTTCCAATTCAAAAATTTGTTTGAGTGCAAGCAACATCCAGAGGGTGGGACATGGCCAATTGAACTTATCAAAGTCCTTCCAAGGCCTAACCGCTAAAAGTTGGAATGCCAGGAAAATAATTTGAGCCCAATTAGGTAGGGTCTTTTTCTCCATCATCTTTTACATCCCTCCACCACACTATTTTAAGGTGGATTAAACAAAATGATAGTCAAGATACATGGCTATTGCCTTGTCTTATTTTTACCTTGCCAGCTGGTAATTTCTGGCTGTAGTGGAGCTCCAAAGGAAAAAGAAGATAAGAGCTTTTTAGAAAACAAGCAATCATATAATCTCACAGTGCCTGACATAGAGTGACAGCTGGTTTTTCAACAAAAACAGAACAAAGGGCAGTTTATGGTTTTAAGCCACCCCTCCCCTTGACTCCTGAGCCATGCATCCAGATTGGGATGGTTTTGATAATCTATTTCCAGTACAGTTAAGGCAGGAGATATTGACCATTTTTACAAACATTTGTGCATTTTAGTTGGTCAAGAAGAATCAGAAAAAAGTTGTGAGAGGTGTGAGGAAATGGAGGAATACTTGATTTTCCTAAAATATCAAGTTTCTGGCACACCAACCCGCGACAGTGCGCACACTTTGCACCCAGACAAAGCTTACCACATCTTCTTGTCCGCAAATACTTTAGGTGCGCACACTGGCGATGACAACCAAAGCTTCAAGCCCCTGGTCAAGCTTAGCACTATTTCCTTTGGAGGGAAAGTTTAATGGTCACAGGTCGGAGAACAGACAGACCAGGTTCCCCAATTTTGTTTACCCATCAGTGTAAGGCTCTGTTTGTGTGAACCAAATTGGGTTGACAACGTTGGTGGCACGGAAGTAACCCACCCACAGTTGTTGAACAGTTTTGCCACACACGCTCCCAACCCAAACTGTTCAGTCAACCTGGGTGGATGGGGTGGACCACAGTGGACAAACGGTCATGCAACATGGCAGTTCAGCCACTGTGGTCCACCCCATCCTCCAACCCAAGGGTTGTATCACAGTTAGAGGAACATGTTCTACTCACAGGATGGTTCCAGAAAATGTGGCCCAATGGTGTAGTAAGGTGGATTGGTTAACACAGGAGGAACCACAGCAACCAATTTGTCCTCTAATGCTGCAATACACATATTGATCAGAGTGTTTGCTGTATCAACGGTACTAAAGACTTGAGAGAATTCTTTATCAGTGTGAGATTTAATTTTAGGGATATCTCCGGTAAAAATAAGAAGTTGACTTAGGTCCTTGATTGTTGCGCTCATGACTCTTGATAACATCCTCATAGCAACCACTGACAACACTTTTACTCCAATGTTGTGATGGCTTGAGAGTGAGCCATAATAGTTTGATTGTGATCCAAACCGTCAAATTGAAGACCAGAGAGTGCAGCTGAAACACCTTGGTCTGATTTGTAGGCGCCAAACAGATTAGAATTTGCAAGGGGGGATGGCATCAGTAGAAGTGGTTGAGGTTCAAAATTGGCAGGAGGAGGAGTTAAAGGAGGAAGAGAACGACAAGAAGTGTTGGAAACAAAAAAATTGGGGGTTGGGTTGTTGAAAGGGGATATGAGAGGGTGGTTTATGTGATGAGAAAAAAGAAGAGAGTTTGCAGGAGCGGGAAGAGACATTCTTGTGGGTTGTATTAGAGAAGAAGAATCAGACATGAATATGGAAGATTGATAAGCTGAAGCCAAAATAGTGAGAGAAGGTCAATAAGGAAAATGTGAGAGAAACAAATAGAATAAGAAAGCTTGAAAGGCATGAGACTACCAAAAGATTTGGAGTCTGAGTAGAAGGTTGATATATAATTGTGAGGAGACACCTATAACTCTATTTTCTTAAATGACTATGAATATCTATGAATATCTCCAAGGGGAGGTATTGTCTTTCTTGAGAGTTGTAAGGGTAACTTATCTTAAAGATAAGTTCTTGAAAAGGGGACTTGAATGACAAGAAAAAGTGTTATCAAAAATGACTTTTATTTTAATAACAACTAATGACAATGATGATGAAGAACAAAGATTACATCAATAAGGAAAGAAAGAAAAAGGGTAAATAGAACTATCATCATAATAGTATATATAAAACAATCAAAAGAAAGAACTCATGAAATCAAGATCATCTATAACACTATGACCAACAAAGTGTTGCTAATTAATCACACCAGATTACTGAATTCATTAGACTTATCCAAACCATAATCAACAACATCATCCTTGGAGCAGTTGAGGTTCTTATGGCGGCTATCATTCTAGAGGCGGTAGTCCTAAATTCTAATCATAATCATCATTACCCTACCACCACCACCAACCCTGCTCCTGGTACTGGTGGTGGATCAGGTAATTATCAATATAATAAGGCATTCAATGGTAGCTTTACTAAATATAAACCTAGAAGAAGTGTCCCTGGTGGAATGAATGGGTCTGAATAATTAATAGTTGGTTGGACAGTGAGGAGGTTTCCTTTTTTTGTTGTTGCTGGTTATATATTGCCTGTGCCCGGGTCAAGCTTAATGTGTTTGTTTGGTTTGATCCTGCTCTTGTTGCTCTCAATCTTTTTCCTCCATTTTTTTTATACTGTTATTCATTTTCAATGTTCATCTGGAACTTGATCAAAAAAAAACCCCTCCCCTTTTCCTAAGACTATTTTTTTGGGAGGCTGAACACCTGTTTAATTCTCCAGATCTACCACTACTACTACTACAACTTGAATTTTTGTTCTTGCTTTTCTTTGATGATATGATTATGATATTTTAGGTTAATTAATCCACTTGTTTCAAGATTGAATGATTGCCAAAAGAACAGAAAGAGAGAAAGTACATATGAGGTTTCTGAATGATTTACATATCCAAGACTTCTCTAGCGTCATCTTGTATACATTTACAGGTTATAGTGCCCCACACCGTAGCAGGGACACAGGTTTTGATAAGCTCATTGGCTATTGCGTCCCTTGCAAAAAATGTTTGATCGGACCATCAGGTGTAAGCCCCTCCTGCAGGGGGTCAGGCTCTCTAAAGCTGATTCCTGCTCTCTACTGTCGCCCATCCACCCGGAACCCCGACCAGTTCACGCCCTCATCGCTCACTATGCGCGGAGCGCCCT